TTCATTTGTTAGATACATATTCTGATTTCTGTAAAAAATATTAGTGAGCCTGGCTATCAGATGCCTTGTGCAAAAAAAAAAAAAATATCCTAACACTTAAAAGCAATGTAAGAATAAACTATCTGGTGTTACTTTTATGTGTGTCTAGGGTGTGCAGTACCTCAACCCAGGCATCAGGTGGCACCGGAAGGCCATTTAGTGTAGAGTGACTTTTGATCATTTGTAGGAAAATTGATGCGCCTTGAGCCTATAATGTTAAATGCAAGAAATCAGACCTACAGCTTAACTACCGCATGGTTTCTCTTGGATGAGGAACCCAAAGTATTAAGTAGATGAAAAAGTGGGGTGAAAAACAGACTTTAGGAAACAGGAAGTTACACGTTCAGCATCCGGGAAGGGGACTGGGAGATGGAGGGAGACTCTGGACGGAAGGGAGAAGAGGGGACATGAAAAGAATTAAAATCTGTTATGTACATGTACCGACTTCCCATGAAGAATGTAATCACTCTGTACTAAAAACATGGACTACTGAAAAGGAATCCAATTTAGCCTGCACTTCCTGTCAGCCTTTTTTCTCTCTCTCTTGTTTCCAAAGGTGTTGCAACGGTGATATAAAGTAATCAGAAGTACCTGCAAAGTAGACTCTGCATTAAAAGCGATCAAAAGAAAAACAAAACAAAACACTTGACGATGTCAAGATTATATTACTGGGCATAAATTTAAAAATAAATTCCGATACATGCTCCTTTTATTGCTCCTGAAGTCTGACTTTCCCATTTCTGAACATTAATTGTACTGAGGGTCACTGATGTGAAAGGATTGATTAAAATCCACGGACACTCAAGACGTTAACAAAGATCATTACCTTGTCGTTGACTTCTTCCAAAGAGAAATCAGACTGAATTGCCATCTCTTCTCTCCTTCTTGTCTTCCCTCTATTTTTCTTCCCTTCTCTCCCTCCCTCTTTTCTGTCTTTCCTTCCAACTATCCATCCATCCATCCATCCATCCATCCCCTTTGCTTTTCCTTCTTATTCTCAGAGACTTTAGCAATCAGAAAAACCTAATGACAATTTCTTGTCTTGTTTGGATTGCACTCTATTTTTAGCAGTTGTTACATTAAAGCTTCAAAGAATGAGGCTAGCTTCTCATTCCAGTAACTCACAGAAAGCTCATTTTCAAAACATGCAAGACACACACATACACAAGCTTGTGTTTTAAAGAAAGTTTGGATAAGCGGTTGATACAGGAAGTATGTAGCTATTGGTACAAGAAGTACATAGCTGTTCACACAGGAAGTACATGGCCATTGATACAGGAAGTGCATGGCTGTTGACACAGGAAGTACATGGCTGTTGACACAGTAAGTACTTGGTCATTGATACAGGAAGTCCATAACAGAGGTGGATTCTCATGTAGGGAGCCCAGAGCAGACCAGGGCAGCACATAGGGGAAACCATCATGTAAATCCTGTTTCTAGAGAATGAAAATCCAGTCTGACTTAGTTCCCATGGAAAAATCAGGCATGGACCTGCCTACAGTATGTAGGCTTCATTTGGGAGTCCCCTCAAATTAAGATACACTGAACTCCTGTCAGGTTGGGTGGCACAAACCTGTCATTGCAGCCCTCAGGAGGCTGAGACTGAACCATGAGTTCAAGGTCAGGTTGGAATACATAGTGAGTTCAAGACCAGCCTTAGGTACATAGCAAGCTCCCATTTTGACAAAACAAAGAGTGACAATGAGAACAACAAAACCATCTCCAAAAACAAAATAACGACCACCAAGCAGGCTTACTGAACTCCTAACCTCAGGAGGTGATCTTAGACTGATTTAGGCTCCCAGTAGATGTAAGAGGTTAAGGGGAGTCTGTCTTGGATTGAGAAGTATTGCATGTCCTTCTACAGGATGGGTGTGGTTTTTGAAGTAGGAACGTGGAGGACAGCAAGAAGGGAACTGTCTCAAGTTGGGGTGCAGTTGTAAACAATGGAAAGTCTCTCTTCTAGGAAACCAACTAGGAGCAAGCAACTGTCCCCTCAAGAGCATTAAAATGAGCTCAGACCTCTTTTGTAAAGAGGGAGTGGTGGGCCTGGTAGCTTCCTGCACTGTGAGATGGTAACTTTCTGCCATTTTGTAAACATTGCATTTCTGTGTTATTTATATTATAATACAGATTGCAAGCCTCATGTGGAGCTGGTTGCATCTACTGTACATAATACATCTTAATTCTTTTTTCTCTTCTTCCTGACCTGTCCCTCCAGCTCTTGACCCCTCTCCCTTTTGCAGAAGATCTCTCTCCAAGTTCCCTGTTATCTTCTTTTTATTTTACTCTTTAGTTCATTTGTACATTGGCTTCCTCATATGCAAGGAGACATGTGATATCAAAGCCTGTGGTCTGACTGATTTGACTTAACATCGTGATCTCAAAGTACATCCGGTTTCCCACAAATGACTCCAGCTCATCCTTCTTCACAGCAGAGTAGTACTCCACTGTGGGCAAATACTACATTTTCTTTATCTATTCATCTGTTGATGGACATGTAGGCTGCTTCCGAGGTTCAGCTGCTATGAGCTTTTTGGTATAAGCATGGGTTTGCATGGAACACTGCAGGATGATGTCCTTAATTCTTTTCGGAAGATGCCTGGGAGGGGCAGAGCTGGGTCATTTTGATAACCCACAGTTTTTGACCTCTCAGGCAGCCCTAAGAAGTTAAACAAAAAGCATTACTTTGAAAACTTGTGCTTCCTCATTTCTTGGTTGAAGAAATAAATTTTGTCTCCTGGGCAACCATAAGTCTTGCATGTCTACACCACCTTCCATCCCTCCTATCATTCTGGTGGCTTTTCTTAGATCAGATGTATAAAGCTGGCATTTCTAAGGTTGGCGTTCTTATGATATATTTTTCCCATTCTATCTGTTTTTTTAATTTTTGTTTTGTTTTGTTTTTCATTACCGAGGATTGAACTCAGGACCTTGCATTCAGAAACCAGGCATGGAACCACTGAACTAAATCCCTGGCTCTCTATAAAATTTGTGTTAAGACCATGCTATTAAATCAGTCCTTGTCAAGAAATAAGAAAGTCAAAGAAAAAGAAGACCAAATGAGAAACACTGTACAAATTTTGCTTGCTGAAAATCTCAGCACTGGAACTCTGGCATCCCCAAAGCCACCCCGCAGTACCGCGTGGGACCGAAGTGCTGCTAGTTGTCTGATTCCGACATTTGCCTCGGCAAAACGGAAATTTGCCATCATTCTGGCTCATGAGCCTCTCCAGTTTCCATCTGGGACAAGGTGATCAAGGTTAGTTAGCAAAGGACAGGGAGGTGGAAGAGACAGAGACCTCATCAGTTTTTAAAATTATGTTATTCAGGAAAGGTGGCCTTCTGTTCGTAGCCTCCTAAGATAATTGGGTTTCATTTCTCAACTGTATATTGTTAGGTGCTTAGTAGAATGTAGGTTGATCCCATTTATGTGCTTCTTTTGCTTCTTTTATATTTTCTACTACACTGAGGCCAATAAATTACATATATATATATATATATATAATTATACACACATATATATAATTATACACATATATACTTGCAGATATCTGCATAGATTTGCATACAGACATATTTATAAATATAAGATATATATAAATAAATATATCTATAAATATAAGATATATATTATATAAGGATATAGGTTTCTGTTGTTTTAATGAATTAACATCTATCTTTGTCTCTATCTCTCTCTGTCCCTAAACATAGAATCAGTTCTTTGTGTCTGAAATTTCTACATCTACAAATTCAAAGAACCATACTGGAAAACGATGTGGAAAAAAGATTTGTCAGAACTGAGCCCACAGAGATGTTCCTCGCCTTTCCCTAGCCCCCAACAGTACAAAGTAACAATTGCACGGACACTACTTACCTTGAATGAATCATTTCAACTCAATTAGCGGTGAGATAAGGGGTTGTGCCAATGTTCTGGATAAATTTGCTGGTGTGTGTGTGTGTGTGTGTGTGTGTGTGTGTGTGTGCATGTGGGCACATGTACGCAGATACACCCATGCATCTGCATACATGTCCAATATTAAGACATATATGTTATTTATCCATGCATGTGTGCAGAAACACACACAGTAGTCTTTCTGTGTAAGGGTTAGGGGATTTGCTTATTCTTATGGCTGTGTACCGAGTGCAGTATCCAAAGAGGTACTGGCACCTCAGTAAGCCTGTTATTTAGCCAATGAAACGGGGTCCTAACGAGACTGGAAATTCTGCGGTCAGCTTGGTCAACTTTGTGACAGTCATACAGAAGAACCTGCAGAATTTTCAATCAGCTCCTAGCTATCAAATTTTAAATTTCTTCTTCTTTTTTGTTTTTTGTGGTCCTGTGAATCGATCTCAGGACCTTGCGCTTGCAAGGCAGGCAGAGGAACCACTGAGCTGAATCCCTGGCCCTTGAATCAAAAAACCTTGTGACAAAAAACTATTTAGGAGTAAAACCAAATGAGTTTCAGGTTGAGGGAACAGCTGCGTGGCAGACCCCTTCCTTAGCTCATAAGTGGTCCTGGGTTCGATCCCCAGCACTGCGAAAAATGGATTCCCATAGTGGTTGGATATATATTTTTTTAAAATGAGTGATTAGTGTTGTGTGTGTGTGTGTGTGTGTATGTTTGTGTGTGCAAGCCGTGAATGGAAGCTGATCCCACTGAGGGACAAGAGCCACGAGCTAGGCAAGGAACAGGACGATACCCAAAGGAGAACATACCCGGTCTTGGCAAAATTGGTCCAGTAAGTCATCACCACGGCACTCAGCATCACGTCGTTCTTGGAGAAGTTACAGCTGAAAAGCTCTGTGGGGCCGATCATGGGGATGCCGAAGACGTAGGGGACCTCGTCCCCGTGCGCCGAGTCTGCCCAACTGGGCTTCATTTCGCTCTGACAGTGGTGGTAGAAAGCGTAGAAGTAGGTGGGCGAGCCGTACTGCGCGTGGAGGTCGGCGGTGGCCACCGCGGGGGCCACCCACTGGTGGTCGGTGAAGAGGGCCACCAGGGTTTTCCGGCGAGTTTCCGGGTTCTCCTTGTCAGCCCAGTCCGTGTACATGAACTTGATGGTCTCCCGCAAGGTGTCTTTGCCCTCGGGGTAGCCGTAGAGGTTGTCCACGAAGTTGGACACCGAGAAGTCGAAGTCGTTGGGGGTCACACCGTCCTCGCTGTCCACCATGCCATCCACGAACTTCAGCCCCTCTCCCTGGTTCACCCCCAGCATGATGTCGTAGTTGAGGAACTCGCCCTGCTCCATGAGGATCTGGGGGTCGTCGGGGATGACATCCCCGTCGATGACGGGCCCGAAGGCAATGTGGTAGGTGGCGGGGGTGATGGCCTGCTGAATGAGTTCTTTGTAGTTCTTGTTCCGCAGGCATTCCACCATGTCCGTGGTGTCCAGCATGTTGCAGCCCACTTTATCTGCCAACATCCGAGTATATTTGGCAGGCTGGTAGTTCACCGCCCAGCTGGACAGGGCCGTGCCGCTCTGGATGATGGCCTTCTGGAACAGACCTGCAGGTGCAAAATTGTGGACATGCAAATGAAAACCCGCGGGGAGGGGGCAGGAAAGTAGCTTTTCACCGGGAAGAAGGCTCCGATTGTTGGGAGTTTCCGCGTGGAGAGGCATTCAGCTCTATCTGGGCTGCTCTGACCCTTGGTGTTTCCCATCCCCCCTTGGGCTGGACGCTCATTTTGTGGGATGTTACTCTGCACACACACACACACACACACACACACACACACACAAATACAGATATTCACATGGATGCATGGATATACACACACATCGGCGTTTAGAAAATGAAACCGTGCTGACATTTTTCTTACAGCAGTAAAAGGAACCAACCGGAATAGGCAGAATTAAAACATGCAATTCATTTCTGATTTCAGCATTTGCTGTAGGTTTGGAATCCACATTTGGTGCACAAAAGATTCTCTCCCTGGAAGTTCCTTTTGCTAGATGTTATCATTCCACAGAGAGATAGAAATGGTGACAGGTAGAGACAGAGGAGACAGAGACAGAGACGGAGATAGAAAAACACAGCATTCATGAATGAATACACACCCACCACAGTTTTACAACAAAGGTCAATCGACTTTTTCTGCAGCAATAAAAACAAGTGCAATTAGTGAATCTTTCATAATCTCGTGTAGATTTCAAATCCAGCACACATGCAAAAAAAATTCTCAGCACCAGCGAACCCAACCCCACCCCTTTCTCTAATAACATGCCTTGTATCAGGATGATGTTAAAAGTTCTCCGGAGGGGTCGGGGCTTTGGCCACGCAAGCACAAGGGCCCAAGTCTGATCCCCGGTAACGCCCCCCAAATAAATAAAATTTTTAAAAAATAAAAGTTCTCCAGGGATTGACAGCAGATAGAAGCTAAAAAACACATACAACTCTGGGATGGGAAAGAAAAATCCCATGGCATTGATTTTAGATTGGGAATTTAGGGCTGTTGCTTTTCCAATCAAAATTAGCTCATTACTTGATGACCTGTTCCATTACGTATTCAAAATCAGTAGCTCAGCTTGAAGAAATCTTAGTGTATTTGCTGCACAAGTGAGCACAGTTTAAGGGCATCTTACACTGAGTATTCGAAAATACATATATGTCTGTATGTCATTTATTTCCAAATCGCACTCATTTTCAATTGGGAATTTTCTGTATTTTATTCTGGTCTCTTAGTGTCAACATGAAGCGAGAAACTTGATGAGTACTGGGCAAGGTGAGGAGTGGAACTGTGGATTTAAGTCTTAAAGTTTTCTCTGAGATCGGGATGTGGCACGTTTGTGCTGCAGGATAAAACAGGATAAAAGAGGAACCTATCCTGCCTTTGCATGAATTTCCCCATGACTCCAACCCTAAAGAATGCAGCACTCATCCCTGAGTTCAGTAATTGACACCCTGATGGCTGGAAAGGTCCTGGAAGCAGGCAGGCGCGTGGGAAATGTGATTGCCATCAGGAAGATGTGATTTTAAAGTCTGGGAGATTGCCCACAGGGGACACACAAGCTGGGGAAGTTAAATCTATCTGGCTTTGCTCAGTGTGACATTAAAGCCCACATTAGCATCATTGCTTTCAGAAGCTCACCCGCTCTGACGTGTCAGGCTATGAAGATTGGTACTTTAAAACACCTAAAAGGAATCCTGTCATCATTTGGCCTGAAACAATCAAAAGGTAAAACAACCAGAACTAGAAATGTGGTGTGAGACAGAAGAAGGTGTTTCTTTTTTTCTCTACTCACAACTCATTGAAGAAATTTGGCAGAAATAGATACTAGAGAGATGATAGATAGCAGGATAGATGGTGCGATAGATAGGAGATAGATAGATAAAGGAAACATTGGAAGACAGATACGTAAAGGATGGGCATGCAGATGGGAATAAATACACAAAAGATTTATGACATATGGAAGGACAGAGGACAGATGATGGATAGATAATAGAGAGGTAGCTGATATTGGAAACATGGAAAGAGATACATACATAAAATGTTGGACATGTAGATATGAGAGTTGAAGGTACAATCGGTGCACCATGTATGGAAAGATAGGTGATAGATAGACAGGTGATAGATGGATAGATATTAATAAAGCACTACTTGCCTCCTACAGACATAGCATGGATTTACTACAAAAACTGAAGAGAAACCATTCCTTCATCATTCAATCTTTAAAACGGAAATTATGGTAGCGTAATCACTGTGCTAATAACTAGTACAATACTATTTTTCAAACTCCTTTTTTCTGCTTCTTAGAGTTCCTTTGTGCCCAGTCTTGCTCCATCTAGGAACTGCTTTCTGAAGTGTTTTTCAAACTCTCCTATCTTCTGGGAGCAATTCCTGAATCCCTGCTTCCTTGATTAAGTCTTCACTGGGCCGTATTAACCCCTCCCTGGGCAGTCTTTCAGCTTTGCCTCTCATGTTTTGGCCAAGATGCTAACAGTTGGATGGATGTCTTTGAAAAGTGTGCTTTATCCATGTTTGCTTTGATTTCAGGAGACTAGAGAAGTAGAAATAGAATTCTGAAGACAAGAAACCTGGCCTTGTATCGCTGTCACTGTCATTATCACGAGGGGCATTTTGATGCTTTCTGTGGGCTCCGTGGAGAAATGTAGAACAGCAAGGCTTTCCCAGACCGTAGTCACCTCTAACCCATTGATTCCAATAATCACCACCTTTCTCCCTCCAAGGAATTTGGCTTCCCTGTATTTCATTACAGCTGAAGCTGGCCTGGGTTCCTTTTTACAGAGTGAACCATGATTATGTGTGCAGGGCAGAACAAGGATCTCAACAATTTTTATTTGGTTGCTTTTTTTTTCCTTGGTGGTACCAGGGATCAAACTCAGGTCCTTGAGCTTGTGGGGCAGGCGTTGGAACCACTGAGCTAAACCCCTGGCCCTCAACAATTTTTAAAAATGTGTTTGGAATTTAGATGAGGCATGGTTCATCCATCGGATCTTCGTGCTTTTTGTTTTATCTTTTTTATTTTATTTTATTTGGTGCCAGGAATCAAACTCAGGGCCTTGCGCTGGTCAGGCAGGGGTGGTGCCAGTGAGCTATGTCCCTGTCCCCTGTTATATTCTTAAACTGGTTCCATATTTCTGACCCACTTTCAATAAGTTTTTATGGTTGATTTTTTGCTCTTTACTTCCATATGTTTGTGGTACACGATCTATCTGGATTCTGTATAGGGAACAGATACAAAACATGCCTAGTCCTCATAATTTTCACGTCCCTTTCCCCTCAAAACAGCCTGGTGGAATTTTCAGTCTGATGCACAATGGGTGCGGCAAAAGAAAGAATCCAGAAATTCAGATACCAGAGAAAGAAAAAAAAAAATCATTGATTGCATCTTTTAAAAAAATAATCCAGGGACACACATCACCAGAAACTAGTCCAAACTGTTACAAAAAGCCAAGAGAAGAATGTGAAAGGATCACAGACCATAACAGCATCCACTCTTAAAGACTCTGGTGGTGCTTGCTTCTAATCCCAGCTACTCAGTGTCCTGATGCAGGAGGATCCCAAGGTCAGCTGAGGGAATTTAAAGAACCCCTCCTAAAAAATAAAATCAGAAGGGGCTGGGGCTGGAGCTCTCCAGTAGTAGAAAAGCCCCGGGTTCCATTTCCAGTACCGAATAAAACAAAAACAACCAAAAATGTACCTATGGACTTCTTTCCACCTCTGCCTATAAAATGCCTCGCCTTGGGGGCAAGGGATTTAGCTCAGTAGAGGCCGCTGCCTGCTTTGCAAGCATAAGGTCCAGAGTTTGACCTCTGGTACACAAAAATAAAAAGGCTCTCTTTCACTTCTTGTGACTTCTCTTTTGAGTCTCTCGTGTGACAGCCTGCAGCCTCCCTTGCCGTGGGGACAGGTACACTTGGTCTCCACTTGGACCCTCAGAAACAGCTGGGGAAGACCCGACACAGGAATGCTGGGCTGGGCCGGCTGCTCACTATTTCCCTGAGTCACTCTCCGTGAGTTCTTGAATGTGTTTCTCTTTGCTCCTGCTTATTCCGCACTAGTACGTTTTTTTGGTCTACATAAAGGGAGAGAGAGAGAGAGAAAAAGTATGAGAGAGGCAGATCTTTTGTAAACCGGAAGGAAGCCAAGCGAGGGAGAGACGGAGGAGACCAGATCGGGGAGGATGTCAAAATATTGAGGATTGTTCTCTACACGTACCATGAGGAATTTATCGTGTACTGCAAACATGGGCTAATAAGAGTAAACATGAAAATATATTTTCTTTCAGAAGATGCCCAGAAATGGCCCGATAGAGAAATGTCTATAAACTCTAGGACTAAAGCTGCCCGTGGGATGTGCTTGCACTGCCAACAGAGGGGTTTTCCTTCTGGTTCCCCCCGGGGGGGTGGGTTCTGCGCTCACTGATTTACTCCTGCTCGGAGGAGGACAGGTGCGGAGAGCTCTGTCCGGCGTACGCAGAGAATTTTAACGCCTTTAGTCTCTGAACCGGACATGGCGATAGATCCCCTGCCTCAATGGCGCAGGCACTGTGCTCCGTACTGAAAGTCACCAAGAAATGACTTGAAGCTTAAGACCGAGTGTACCCGGGCTCACAGGATACGTGCACCATCTTGGACAGGAATTGGAAGGCCTGAGGCCCTTCACTCCCTTACTGTGCATTGGAATCACTTTCCAGGCGACTGCAAGCGGGGACTGCATTTCCTTCAGCTTTACCATAGATGCTAACAAAGCTTAAGATGGACCAAACGATGGGAGAATGGAAAAAAGAAACTATCACATACGGGTTTCTAAAGAAGTCACTCTGTCATCGTAACTAATATCTTATCGTTCTAAATTTAAATTGGGGGGATTTAGTTCAGTGGGCCTGGACCTGCCTCTCAAGTGCAAGGTCCTAAGTTCAATCCCTGGTGCACACAAACACACACACAAACACACACACACACACACACAAGCAAGTTATAGTCTGGAGTGAAGGAACATAGGAAGATGCCCGCAGTCCCAGCACTTTGGGAGGCTGAAGCAAAAGTATCTCAAGTATGAGCTCCACCCTGGCAATTTAGAGAGATCCGATTTGAAAATTTAAAGAATGGGCTCAGTGTGAGAGCTCTGGGTTTGAGCTCCAAGACAGCAAAGAAATAAAAACAGTGAATTAAAGACCTGGGATGTAATTTGCCGGTTGAGCGTTTGGCTACCCAGCCAGAGGCCCTGGGTTCCCTGCCCAGTACCACAGGCCAGGGAAAGTGAGGTGGGAAGAACAGAGATTGTGGAATGCAGCGGATAGGATTTTTTGTTCAGGTTCCCAATCCCGCCCTGCAACTCGGGGTGATCTTAGCGGAGCTCAGGGCAGGGCTCCTGTTTGAGTCTGCAGCCCCACCCCAGGGCAGGCCGGTTACCTTCTGAATAGTGCGACAAAGTCAGCAGACTGACACAGGAGGCTCCGGCCCCAGACCCAAAGATGGTCACTCTCTTGGGGTCACCACCAAAAGCTCCCACGTTCTCCTCGATCCACCGCAAGGCTTGGATCTGGTCCAAGAGTCCGTAGTTACCTTTCGCCGCCTGGTCCCCGGTGCTTAAAAACCCTGCAAAAAAAAAAAAAATAAAAATAAAAAGGACCCAGGGTTGAACATGTAGCGCAGTGGTAGAGCACATGCCTAACATGCCTGAGGACTTGGGTCAAATCCAGCACCACAAATAAAAACGAGCAAAATCACAACCCTGGGTGAGCTAGGTATAAACACCGAGAAGCACTTCACCAGCTCTCTCCCCTCTTTGTAAAGGTGTCTTAACTCTTTCTCACCTGTCCGTTCCCTCTCTGCCCTGCCACCCCATCGATAGAAACAACCTTGCAGGTAAATTCTTCAGAGCAGAATTATATTACACATACACCCCAGTGAGCATTCCTTTTGGAATTATAATAAAATACCTCCCTTATGGGAACGCACGTGGCTGCAACGGAGGACAGGGGCTGAGGATTTAGCGTAGCTCAAAGGTCCTGAGTTCAAATCCCAAATCCCAAAAAGAAAAAAAAATCAATTAAATGAAAAATAAAATAAAAAATAGAGGACAAAAGTGGTCTAAAATCTTTACAGTACAATAGTAGAACATATGTTATAAATTGCCTAGCATGCATGAAGGCGGTGGGTCCAATCTCCAGTACCCCAAGAACCAAGCTCTCTCTTTTTTTTTTTTGCTCACAGTTTCATTTTCTCAGGAAAAAAAAAAAAAAAGGAAAATGGAACAGGCTCCTCCAGGAAAATTTTCAAGGGGAAAAATAATGCTTGTAGGGTGAGGAAGTCTGAGAAAGGGTGTGTATGTGTGCAAAAATAACATAGGTCGAGTTTGTTCCATTGAGTGGGTAAGATTTGAAAATAACTCCTTTTGTTGCTTATGTGTCACAGTAAATGACAGGCATCTTAGAATCCCATCTGAAGTTAAATTCCTACCCATCTCTCCCTCCAAACGCCTCTGCCTCTTTTTTCTTGAGCTGGAGGTGGAACCCGAGGCCTGGCACGCACTAGACAAGTGCTTCCCGCCTTTTCTTGTTATTTAGAGAATATGTTGGTGTTTCAGACCCTCACGTACTATTCCATAATCTCACCCAGAAGCCAGTGCAACCCCCTAACCTAATGCCCAACACCACGCACTGGTGGTTAGGCAAGGAGTTTTCTCTAAGCCAACCAACTTAGTTTCACCCAAGGTGTGAATGCTCCCTCAGAATTTTTCTTTCTGCATGATTACATTTTCCCCAATTTCCACGTGTTCCACCCAAGAGAGGTTTCCTCATTCATTGAGCAGAGTGGCATATATCCTGTGCTCCCAGCACTCTGGGAGGCTGAGGCAGGAGGATCCCAAGCTCATGCTCGAACCGGACAACTTAGGAACAAAGTGAGACCCTCCCTCAAAACAAAGAAACAAACAAAAAATTTAAAAAAGGCCAGGATGCAGTTTAGTGTGAAGGCTCTGCATTCAATCCTTTGGACCTCAGAAAAAGAACTGTTGAAGTCATGATCAACTCCAGGTCAAATTTGTATGAAGATGACCCCCCTCTGAGCTCCTGCATAGCATAAATCCAAAGATTCTCTCTTGGAATCACATTGCCACCCCAACTAGATGAATTTCAGGAATCTACATACAGGCCACCAGCTTCCAAATCCTAAAACCAAGTAAGTCAAGGATGGGGCTGAGGACCAAGAAAGCCAACGAGCTTCTCTTGGAAGCATTTCTCGATTTTCAGCGATCCAAGCCAGAGATCACAAATGAACGGGTGGCTCAGAAGAAAGCCCCACACGACTTTTGGTTCACAAAACGCAATAAAAATTCCAAAGCTCAGGCCGGGCTGCCAACCCCCGTTTCTTACAACACAGCCACAGAATGGTGCATTGTAAATGAATCCCGTGGGTCCAGCCTCCTTCCTTCCTCGAAGCAAATGCATGTAGGATGAGCTGTGATTTCCAAGAGTCGAGAATTCACTCTCCCCAGCCCTTATTCGATTAGCAATCACTGATTACCGATTCATGCCCAAAACGTTCGGCACACAGCACGAATCCTCCCTCTTCTGCGCTCAGAACACAACTCCTGATTTGGAGGGGACACCCCCACACACGTGCTAAGTAGATAGGTGTTTGGTCACCCCAAAGTCAGTGCCCTGTAGTGACTCTAAGACAGAGTTGTCTTCCCCCTTGGAAGAAAGACGGGGTTTGTGCCAAAGGGTCCGGTACCCTTCTGGCAAAACGAATCTGTGTTGAACTCTTTTCTTTACTCCCCTCTTCCCTTCTCTACGCTAGTGGAAGAAGGATCTAATTGCTAATTTGAATTCTGCAAAAGAGAGGGAAATCTGCAATCCGATGTCAATCCTGAGTCTTTATGGTATCATAGTCCTCCCCAGCCCCTAGTAAAATTCGACGGCTCCAACTGTAAAGCTGCTGCAGGTTAAGAAGTATCCCTTACTCCTGCACCTGTGAGGTGGGTCATTGTGATGCTGAATTCCTTCCAAAGAGTAAACATGTTGGCCACGGAAACCAGTGCTTGCATGTTTAAATTTGGAGGGAAAAAAAAGGTAAATGTGGTGCTGTGGGAAACTGGTGTCTCCACAGTTTTTGCTATGGAATCTTCATTAACTGAACTATTGAAAGATTTTCCTTTTTCCCCCCTTCGTTTTTGCTTGGCCACGCAGGGGCTCAGACTCAAGACTGTGATAAAGTGAGGCAAACAGTCTTCTTCCACTGAGCTACACTCTAGCTTTGTCTCTTTTTCTTCTCTTTTTAAAACTTAAAGCATCTACCAGATGCAGTTACATCTCTGGTACGGGAGGAAAGAGAACGATTTTCTTTTCTTTGCAGTTGTTAGCATTCAGGTTCCGAGCCGCGGAGCGCGGTGCTTGGTGTGAATCAGACTTGAGATGTGGGGAAGATGACAAACATGGTAGTAAGTGTGGGTCAGAGGAAAAAAATGCTTATTTTCCAAAGATACAGAATTATCAAGCTGTTGGCATCGCTGTATCCAACCGAAGCTGGATGCATCTACGTGAAATCAAGGAGATTTTAACTCAGCAGAAAGAATGGTCACCCAGAAAGCAAAACCAGCCCAGCAGTCCATCAACTGGAGACTGGATAAGGAAAATGTGTGAGTTTTTAAAAGGATAAAATGGCATACTACTGAGCCATAAAGAATGGGAAACTGAAGTCATTTATAGCTCATAGGACGCACACTGAGGTGATGCTCTCAAGTGAAATAAATAGGACACACATGTAAATACTGAACAGTTTCTCTGCTGGGAGAAACTGAAAGTGTAAATGAGGATCAAAATGTATAAAAGACTGTGTGAAATAGGAAGAAAAGATCCAACGGGGGAGGGGAGGTGGGAGGAGTTGGGAAAGGAACGAAGGGAAAAGAAAATAATACAAGAAAAGAAAAAAATGGAAACAAAGTGTAAACGGGAAAGAGTGGAGGGGTGAAGGGAGGGCAGGGGAATGGGGAAAAATAAGAACCAAGGTCCATCATGCCAAGGTACAAATTCCCAATGCTGAAAGGCATCATGTAGCGTACCTACAACATACCAATTTTAAAAGAAAACAAATCATAACAAATGCCCGGGAGGCTAAGGGGCAAAGCCTGCACTCCTACATTATTGGTGGACTTGTAAACTGGTACAAGCTCAGAAAAAATCAGGGTGGGGATTCCCCTAATAATTGAAAACAGAAATTCTGTCTTCTCCAGGTATTCTGGTTTCTAGGTATGTTCCCAAAAGAAATAAAGACATCCTATCACTGTCATCCCTGCACACCCATGTTCATAGCAGCACAACTCACAGCAGGTAAATTTGGAAAGTAGCCTCTATGACCATCAGCAGGTGAATGGACAAAGAAAATGTGGTGTTTGCACACCGTGGGACACTACTCTGCCATGAAAAAGGACAAGCGAGTCAACTGTAGGAAAATGGATGCACCTGAAGGCCATGAGTTTGAGTGACATGAATCAGGAAGACTTAACTTTAAAGGCATATCCTTGATACACTAGCGGAAGAAGACAAAGGGCTGTGTAAAGTCATAGGTTTGCGACAGGAAGTATACTTTCTGTCCCAAACACACTAAGCCTGTCCGCCGATGGAATAGTTGGCATGTGAGGTTCACCGTCCGGAAATGCAGCTTGGAGATGTGTAACCCCCACACCCTTAGGCGACAAAAGTCTCAAACTAGTCTATTGAAAGACATGCAGGCAAACAGCTGCACAGATGCTAGCATTCACGGGGAACTCCAAGGTGACAAACAGGACCGGAAAAATGCAGACAGGAAGTGGGCTGAGTTCACGAGATTTCCTTCACAGGTCTTGTAGAGAAGATGCTTCAAAATGGGAGCCATAATTTCCATGGGTGTGGGCGCGTTCAGCTAGAGCTGCTGCATGTGTGTGATACGCGTGTATAACTGTGTGTGCACATGTGTGTGTGCACGTGTTTACCCACACAAACATGTGCAAATATGAACAATTTAAGGCGCAAAGCCCAGGCGGGAATATTTCAGTGAAAGCCTTTCGGAGCTGTACAGAAGAGCCCCAAGAGGGAATCTGTGTCATAAGACTCACAGGAGCAGTATAAGAAGTAGGAAAATGAGTCAAACGGATACACATCCGGACTCATGCTAGGTTGTTTTCCAGAAGTCGATCATGAGCACATTTACTGCAAGGTGAAGCCCATTTTGTGACCAGAACCATTTAGGCTTTGACAAAATCATTTATATAGGATGGAACCAAACGGAAGCTTTCATGGATTGACTGACTGATTGATTGATATTTGTTTCATTTTAATCTTTTCCCACTAAGTACATTTTAGGTATACAATACAATGACATTCATCATTGGGAACTTGTTTATCTGGAGAGAGGGTCTCCTGGTGTAGTTCAGGCCGGTTTTAAACTCAGTATGTAGCTCAGGCTGACCTCGAACTCATGGAGAGCCCCCTGCCTCAGCCTCACAGCACTGTGATTAAAGGTTGGAGCCACCACTGACAACTTAGAAAAATTAGACATTTAAATGATACAGGCCTGATGCTTAAGGATGAGTGAAATTCATCCTTCCCATTTTAAGG